GTTTGTTGATTTGTTGATGATAGCCATTCTGACAGGTGTGAGATGGTACCTCATTGTCATTTTGGTTTGCATCTCTCGGATGATTAGTGACTTTGAGCATGTTTTCATGTGTCTCTTGGCTTTCCTTATGTCCTCTTTCTAAAAGTATCTATTTAGGTCCATTGTCCATTTTTTGATTGGGTTGTTTATCTTCCTTTTAAGGTAGAGGAAGGTTAAGCTGTATGAGTTCCCTGTAAATGTTGGAGATTAAACCCTTATCAGAGATAACATTGGCAAATATGTTCTCCCATGCAGTGGGCTTTCTTGTTGTTTTGTTGATGGTTTGACTACTGTTTATTTTGATGTAGTCCCATTTGTTTATTTTCTCTTTAGTTTTCATTGCCCTAGGAGCAGTATCAGTGAAGAAATTGCTTCAGCATATGTCTGAGATTTTGCTGCCTGTGGATTCCTCTATTATTTTTATGGTTTCCCATCTTATGTTTAAATCCTTTATCCATTTTGGGTTTATTTTTGTGTATGGTATAAGTTGGTGGTCTAGTTTCATTTTTTTTTTGCAATTTTCTGTCCAATTTTCCCAACACCATTTATTGAAGAGACTGTCTTGACTTCATTGTATGTTCTAGGTATTGCAGTTTTTATAAATTGAAGGTTTGTGGCAACCCAGAGTCGGGCAAATCTACTGTTACCATTTTCCCAACAAGCTCAGATGATTGTTAGCATTTTTAGCAATAAAGTATTTTTTAATTAAAAAGTTAAGGTATTGCCCTAGCTGGTTTGGGTCAGTGGATAGAGCATCGACCTGCAGACTGAAGGGTCCCGAGTTCTATTCCGGTGAAGGGCACATGCCTGGGTTGTGGGCTCGATCCCCAGAGGGGGGCGTGCAGGAGGCAGCCAATCATTCTCTCATCATTGATGTTTCTATCTTTCTCTCCCTCTCCCTTCCTCTTTGAAATCAATAAAAATATATTTTAAAAAAAGTTAAGGTATGTACATTTTTTTTAGTCATAATGCTATTGCACACTTTTTAGATTACAGTATTGTGTAAACCTAACTTTTATATGCACTGGGAAATCAAAAATTCGTGTGACTCAATTTTAACATTCACTTTATTGCAGTGGTCTGAAACTAAACCCGCAATATCTCCCAGGTATGCCTGTTAACAAGAATGTGGGTGGCACATATATGGGTTTTCTGAGTCCAGGCAAACTAGTTTAGGAATGCCACTTCCCACCGAGTCCTGGAATAGAAGAGATGGGTTCCTGTGCTCAGTTATGACCACCACAGGCTTCATGCACGGCACTAGTTAGAGAAGATACTTCCCTAGCCTGTGGCTTTTACAGCCCTGATGCTTCCAGCTGCCCAGAAGAAAGCCCTCAAAGAGTCCTCCTCTCAGGTTGCCAGTAGAGGGGCCAATTCCGGCTGAGAGCTGAGAGTACCAACAGGGGCCCAATTCCAGCTGTGAGCTAAGGGTACCAACAGGGGACCAATTCCAGCTGAGAGCTGAGGGGACCAACAGAGGGACCAATTCCAGCTGTGAGCTGAGGGTACCAACAGGGGGCCAATTCCAGCTGAGAGCTGAGGGTACCAACAGAGGGACCAATTCCAGCTGTGAGCTGAGGGTACCAACAGGGGGCCAATTCCAGCTGAGAGCTGAGGGTACCAACAGAGGGACCAATTCCAGCTGTGAGCTGAGGGTACCAACAGGGGGCCAATTCCAGCTGAGAGCTGAGGGTACCAACAGGGGGGCCAATTCCAGCTGTGAATTGAGGGTACCAACAGAGGGACCAATTCCAACTGTGAGCTCAGGGTAGCAACAGAGGGACCAATTCCAGCTGAGAGCTGAGCTACCCACAGAAGGGCCAATTCCAGCTGTTAGCATGGAATTTCTCAGTTACTAGCTGTGAAACAAATGCAAATTATCACTTTGGATGCATCTCAGTTTTCCTTTTTAACCTGACACCTCATGTACACCTGAATTTATGGCTCTGATATCTGACATCACCAAATAGTGGAGTTTGTATAAGGAGCCTATGGCAGCGCAATTTTTTGAATCTGTGTTACACATATCTTAGATATCACACATATAATGATATACACAATTTTATATAAATATATACACACACACATTTACATACTAGTAAATAAGCAATTAAATGTCATTAATAAATTATTTAAATTATTACGAAATAAGTACTTGGCCTAAAATTCTCCTTAAAACTCCCAAGGCCCATGTCTACCCGTAGTTCAGTCCTTTCGGGCCACACGGACCAGTAGAGGGCAGCAGAGGGCAATACCTGAAAGCAGGGGCTTCTGCGTCCAACTGCCCGCTGCTTCCGACCCTTTGCTTCTTCCCAGTCATCCTGTCCAAGTCTGAAGCTCTCCCAATGCCAGATGAGATGACCACACCTCCTCCGGGGGCTGTGGGCATCTGAGGAGGGCAGACACCCAGAAAGCACCCAGCCTAGCGCTTCCTCGTAGAAAGTGAGCCTGGCACTGCTGCTGCGCCTGGTGCTGCTGGGACTGGGCGAGGAGCTGAGACAAGACCAATGGGCACAAAGGCAATGTGAGCTGCACCCCGAGGGCAGCATCGCAAGGCACAGAAGCCGTTACAGAGCTGCCAGTGATGAGCCTGAGAGGAGAAGAAAGTGCAGCAAAGGCTCCAGAGATGAGGGATCCTGGTAGGAAACAGCTTTCACAAGGTCCCCGGTGACAAATCCAATTTATAAGATTCTTCTGTTTTAACGCGTGCGATTACCACCAAATATGGCCCTTGACCACTCCTTTTTCTTGAAGTTTTCTCTTTCCTTTGTTTCCATGACAACACTCCCTGCGGTCCTCCCACTTAGCACTGGCTGTTGCTCTGCCCCCTTCCCTAGCAGATCAGCCTCGCGTGCTCCCGAATGACTGAAACCTGTTTCTAGTCTCTAACTTCAATATGCCATCTGGATATCTCAAGGCACTTCAAACCTGAAGTCACCAAAAACAAATTCCCTTCCTTTTTTAATAACAACAACAAATTCTTACAGAGTGCCAGCCGCTGTTCACTCCCTGCACATGCTACTCATTCAATTCTCTCACTGCTCTGTGGTAGATACCATTATTACAAAGAGCTGAGGCACTGGGAGCTTAAGTCACTCACCCAAGATCACAGAGCTAGGAAATGGCAGCACCAGGATGGAGGAAGTCAGCCATCAGAGTCTGCGCTCCTGACCACTGCGCCACACTGCCTCTTCCTTCAGTAATCCTCCCCCGGGGTTCCAGTGACACCATCCACCAGGTCACCCATGCCAGAAATAAGGGGCCATCCTCGATTCCTCCCGCTCCCCTCACTGCCAATGCACTGCCAAATCCCAGCTATTTCACATCTCAGATATCCCTTCAATCCAGACCCATTCTACCACTAACTACTTAGTACTTGCTCTCATCTCTTGGCAATAACCCAGGAACCATCTCTCTGCCTCCAGCCTTATCTCCCCCAAGTCCATTCCCCATCCTCCCTCTAAAGATTGGTCCAGATGCAAACATGTGGTGGCACTGATTGGGCTCGTACCAACCAGCTGTGAGACCTGGGGCACATTTCCATGCTTCAGTTTTCCGCTCTTTAAAATAACAACGTGTTCCAAATGCAACTGCATTAGAAGAAATCACATGAGACAGTGCCTCGCTTACCCTCACAAGGCACATGACCAAGGCACATGACCAAGGTAAGACGGTGTAAACTGAAGCATTATGATGCCCACGTCTCCCCAACAAAGGCCGCAAGAAGACCCAGTCTGTTCCATTTGACCTTTGCATCCTTAAGAATCTTCTCTGCTAGGGAAGACTTCCTGAGCCCCGTTTTGAATGAGGGTTTCTTGAAAACTATATTCTAATCACAAGAAACAGCTCGGGGCAAATTAATAAAACACAAGAATCAGGTGAGTCGTGAAAACTGTATAAAATGGACTTGGACTCCACAGACACATGATCAAGATCCGACATTCTGACTCATGTGAAGGATAGGAGGCTTTTTTTTAAAAAAAAAAAAAGATGTCCTTGGTAACTTGGATTCAATCTTCAGATCTCATTGATCTCTTGTCTTGTTCAGAAAAACACGTGAGGCAGCCATATTTCATACTTAGGAGCAACCGGCAGGGCTATCATTTCCCCAGGGAACACTCACCATGCTGGCGTCGATGACCTGACCTCTGCCGGAGCGCGTGCGTTCAAAGAGAGCCATCACGATGCCCAGGGCGCACATGAGGCCGCCACCAGCAAAGTCAGCCAGCAGGTTCAGGGGAGCAGAGGGGTTCTCACCGCTGCTGCCAAGTCTGGACAGGACACCTACCAAAAAATCGGAGAGGATTAACCGTAAAGTTAATGTCCCTTTTAAATAGATACATGAACACGGAGGAGTAACAGTCTCTCCAGTCGCTGACGTAAGTGGAAACTAGGACATGATGCTTTTCCAATTCTAAACGTTTTCAGCCTACTAGTAACAGGCTTTCCCTCCAGCCGGTTCCTCCTTTTGTGTGTTTTTTCTTCTCCAAAACTTTATTCCACCGAACATTTTCAAAATTTTATTTGTAAGTTTTTTACTTATTAAAATGAGAAAAATGATTCCAGAAGAACATTTTCAAAATTTTATTTGTAAGTTTTTTACTTATTGAGTAAAATGAGAAAAATGATTCCAGAAGAAAAAAAAAGATTGTTATCAATTTAGTTTATGATTTCACAATAGTATAATGCACTTCCATTCTTATTAGAAAAAGATGCAATAATCAAACACAAGAAAAAGAAAAGGGCTTAACTAGACTTGAAAAACCAATTCTGTACTCACTCTCTCCTCAACCTTTAAATGTGTACTCACAGATTCTGAGACGATTTACTCAACAACCCACCATCCTTACATTCTAGAATCAGGCCATTCTAAGACATGTTCTCACAGGTAAAATTTCTAATAAAGGGTATGACGACCTGAAAACAACAGTTGAGCAGTATCTACAAAAATCTAAAACGGTGACTCAGGCAATGATTCTCCATGAAGGTGGAGGAAGAGGGTGTCAGAATCAAACCACAGCAGCATTTTCTAACGACAGAGCCGCCATCCCTATCACCACCCAACCCCTGACCCCCTGGCAGGGGCTTGCCGGAGAAGTGACTCCACATGTGCAGTAAGAATGAGAGAATATTATCCATCAGATGTGTGAAGACAGAGGAAAGGGCTGAGAGTGACTGTTCCAAGACAAGCCAGCGCTTTGGAAACCACCATACTGTCCTTACTGATTTAAATGTTCACCTTTAGAGACTCCTTTTCATTAATCAGTGTGACTTTAGAACTTGCCTGGAAACAAAACGGAAAGTGTAGAGCAATCCTGTTTCCCAGCATACCTGACAGAGCCAAGTAGTTGATGTCATGGCCTGCGGCCGTGGCGAATCCTCCTGACTGGCCAAACCCGCTCAGCCTGGCATAGATGAGCCTGGGGTTCTCCTTCCGCAGGATCTCGGGGCCCAGCTGGAGCTTCTCCATGACACCTTGCGAGA